TGCCGCCCGTTGCCCCGCTCCCATTACGACGCGGACTCTCGCGGCAGGTGCACCAACCTAAGTGCCACTCCGCTTACCTGTGTGTCGTGCCTACCAAGCCAAGTGTGTCCGGTGGTCAGGTTCTTCCCTCTCTCTCTTCCTCTTTCTTTCTCTTTCTTTTTTTCCTCTTCCTCCTCCTCCTGTCACACACACACACTCTGTCTCTCTCTCTTTCTCTGTCTCTCTCTGTCTCTCATCTTTTTCACCCCCTACCCGGCTTCGTCCTTCTCCCTCTGTCTCCGTCTGTCTCCTTCGACGTCGCTTCACGCAGCAGTGCGGTGTTGTAGTGTCGTGTCATCCTGCGCTACGTCAACGATCCTCCCGAACGGTGGAGGCAACGATCGACCGCGTATACCACAACGATTCCGTCGCTACCGGGTCCTCTGGTGACCCACGGGACAACGTTGGCCAGGTTCAGCCTACGCGTCCTTGCGGCACCCTCCTCTGACGGCCGCCGCGCGTAAACAGTCGCACGGATTCGATAACTGACCGCAGTGTTTACGCGAGCCCCGAGTAGCTCGGTCGTCCCGTTTTCGGGATCACCTAGGTGTATCGCGAGTGTCAGTGGGATCCTCGTCGAGGGGATCAGTGCACCGGTTCGAACAAGAGACTGGTCCCCGGGACGCAGTTACGGAAGAGGGGACAGTGAAGGTGTCAAACGATTCGCGACTTGCTCATTGACATTTCCGTGACATTTTGGTGTCCGCGATTTTCGTGTGACGCGACAGTGAGAGATTGTCCCCGTGGCCGACGACACGGTCGAGAAAGTCGCAAGGCCAGAGGTGTATCGGAGTCGATGACGGATGCCCCGTGCCTTATCACCGCGGACGGCCTCTTATCTGTGCTTATCTGTCCGCTGGAATCGTCGCCGGACGTGCGACTCGACGAACCAACGCGAAAACCCTCGATTCCTGGTGTCCTCGTTCATCGTACGTGTCCTTCAAGCGCTGCTATATGATTCTTGCTGGACTTGTGCGTTCGCGCGTGGATCAGATTTGACGTTCAACAGGTGGCTCGAGATCGAGGGTGCACCAGATCCCGCGCGAACGGAGTTCTGCACGAGACTGTGACAGTTGTTGCATCGGTTACGATCTTCTGCGGCACGTCGATCGATGATTGATTCTCGAGGGACTATCTTGTGACAGAGGTCAAACTGGACATACTCACCGCCACGTCGGGACGTACGGAGTGGAGATGTCCGCGGGTCGCTGAGAGAATGAGGGAGCTGGACACCGAGAGCCCTGTTGTCTGGCCAGCCTGGTGTTATACTGGTGAGTTGATTATGAACAAGTGAAATTTAACAGTCCCTTCTACAATTACTCGAACGTGATCTATTTAGATCGGATTTAAGCTTGATGATGTATTGGGTGCTGTTGCGATTTATTTCCGTTGACTCTCGTGTGAATGAGAAATAAAACGATTCTTTAACAATCAGGTTGAGGCTAAGATTCAGATCGCGAAGTTGCTATTAAACTTGAACGAGTCTAGGTGACATAAGTGAAGCACTGATAGATGTATCAATTTGTTATCATTTCTATCGATTTTATCTAAGAGTTGTGAATAGAAAGGTGAAACATTGTAACTAGGTTGAAGGTGCCATAATTGAAACAACCATCAATTTGCTACACCTCTCTGAAACTATGATGTGAATAAGAACTTGATGAAGTAATAATTATTTCAAAGTCATCCTATCTAATTGTGAAATTATTATTAAAATTCAATACATATTCAAAGGTGACATAAACAGAGTACCGATTAAAGATCAGTCTATAATTGAAATTGATAATGATTAATAACGAAGGATTATGCTACGAGCAGAAAATTAATGAAGTGAAGTGTTCCGACCATAACTCTATCTCTTTCTTTTGAAAATGTCGTACGATATTCTATAATAAAATAAAATCTTCCAAGTGCTGTTGACATGGCTGATAAGAGCGTTTGAAAAATAAAGAAGCGATTGATTCGCTTATCAAACCTAGTAGGAGTTGTGAGGTACTACTTTAGATTGAAAGGTTTTCCGATGTTACAGAGCGACATTGTAGTTACGAACTACTGTATATTTTTCTGGTATAGCGTAGAAACATGTACAAAAATATTATTACAATCAAATGTCACTTCCCTCCAGTTATTTCAGTTATTTGAAACTTGTGAAAAATTGACCATAGAACACTTCCCAAAATTACCATTTCCAGAGTTACCATATTTAACCATTGCCAAATGTTTGTCTATAAATTCAACAATGCATGTATGACAGAAATTTCTTCAACTAAAAACGTGGTAACAGTATTTAAACTATTCAATAGAATGACAGTACAGTTACCGTCAGAAACGTGACATTCAACGTGCCAAGCCGTTTCGCGGTCCGCCAATTGTCAGTATCGAAAGTAATCCGTTGATATTCCGCCAGGTCGTTAAAGTGTTAAGTTCGCGAATCGATTCTCATGAGTCGACAGCTGTATCGGCGGTACGTGTTGATAGTGGACAAAATGATATCAAGCACGTTGTAACAGGATGCCATTCGCGGTGACGAGTTGCGTAAAGCAACGAAACAACACATGTGCAAAAAGGTAGGCGTTGCTCGCTGCTCACCGCTGTTGGAATTCGCGCTCGATATACATACATATCCCGTCCACCGTTCACGGCTGACGTACGAGAAACAAACACGATCGTCGATAAGGGGATCTCGAATTATGTTTTAAGATCATTTCGAATTACATAACGCGGAACGGGAACAACGTTCGATTGCCGTTTATCGAGGTCGTTTCTACATTGGTTATTCACAAAATCTCCGATTGAACGTTTTGAGAATCTGGATAGAAATGGATGTTAATAGGAGAGATTGCGTTAGATTCGAAAATTAGGTTCAACGTAAACGTAATTACTCTTTGACAGTGTTTAGGTATTTAGTTTTCAGTGTACTTAGTGTATATTTAGCAGATACTTGCAAGTATTTAATATTGTGTGTCGTTGACAGGTGAAGATCGTACAGTGATCATATGTGGATTTATATGTCATCCACATGTGATACGATCAACGTTGATATGTTCACCTATTGGTCAAATATGGAGATCAGTAGATTCAGTAATCTAGAGATAAGAATATAGAGGGATTTAGAAATAGAGGGATCTAGGGGTAAGAGAATGTAGAGATACGAGAATCCAATGATGTAGACATCTAAGCATGTGCTGATCTAACAACGTCGAAATCTGAGATTGTGACTGGAGGTAGTATAATACTAGTATATTAATACATCTATATATAGGGTTAATATTAATTTTAATATGTAGGAATATACTAATAGCAATCCAGTAGTCTATATATAGATCTAGAGTTAATAGTAATCTTGATATGTAGAGATCATATGTGACAATCTACCCATATGGGGATCGTAAAACCCAATACTATAAAGATCTACAAACACAGACATTAAGCGCTAAATAAATACGAAAACCTTCCAATATTTCTTTGCCAAATATAAAAAAGGTTAACATAGAATTAAAAGGCTATCCAACACACTTTCACCTGAAACAGTGTACCCCATTCCGTTGGCCATTATTTCTTCATAAATGTCCCCTTTATCCGTGCTCATCGACGTTGCTCGGCGAAGTTCGATGAAAACGGAGGAGCGTGATGATATTTTCGGTGCCCGCCATAAAAAAGATACCCCAGAACCTTAAAAGGGTGCGTGGAGCGAGACAGAGGAACTAATGTCGAAGTGTGTAATTACGGTTCTCGATCTTGACAATTAGGAGCCGTTGGAAGCTGTCGGTAGCGAATAGGCTCCCACTTAGCTGCCGAAATTCCCAGCAGCCTTATCTCGGCGAATCGGGCTCGGTTATTCGTCGGGTTCTTCTAATTAAGAGGGCCTCCGCTGATTTTTTTGTTTGCTCTCTTTCGGACGAGGAATTACCCCCGACAACTATCCTACCGACAATTCGATCTTCTATCGCTGAATCGGACCTTTTCTCTTATAGTAATTTTTGACAGAGCATGAGTTTATTTTCTCATACGTTTAAGTTTATTTTAGGTTTAGGTTTATTAATTTATAGGTAGCTTCTGTCTTTCGAATGTTTATTCAGATTTGTTCGTGTTGATACCGGTAGCAGTATTGATATGACAGTAATTTCGACACTTGAATGATAATTTTATTTTGTCCAAACTTACCCCTAAATTTTTGCAAAGTTAAATTACTTTAACATTCCCTGTTCCTTAATTTTTATCCTTTCAACGCGTAAATTCTTCAGATATCCAAAATAAGGAGAAAATACAGCACAGACCAGTTTCTACGAGCTTCCCATCAGTGCGTCCACATCAGCGCACAATGGACACAGTAATCAGTGGCTTTTTCACGGGAAACGCGTTAACTTTCGAACCGTTTCACGCGTCTTCGTTAACCCGTGCCCCGTGAGTTCGGTGACAGCTTGAATCTCGCGAAACGAATTTGTAATATAACGACGAGGTAATGGTTGTACCGTGTGCTGCAGGCGACAACTGATGGGATTAATTTGATCGTGGACACAATTTCTCGATTCTTGCCTCGTTGCTCCGCTCGATGATTAATCGAGACTCTCGAACGTCCTTGACGAATGATGTTTCATAGAAATCGATTCAAAAATCATCGGCTGATCTTGAATTTATCAGAACTGGAATAATTTCCTGTTTTTTTCAAGGGATTATCTTATCGACAGATTGTATTTTGATAAAATTTGAGGAAAATTTAAAAATATGGCAGGAATTTTGTCTTGCCTCTAGGTACAATAGATTATGTCTTGGAAATTAATATTTTATATTAATATTATTATACACTAATGTTTAGAGATAATAATATCATCATGGAGTGAAGATTCTAATTTAAGTCAAGGTTTTATTAAATACAATAAAAGTCGAGTTACAGGATTTCTTTCGTTTAGTGTTCTTTGTGAGGTTCATAGGTTATGTCAGTCCTCCATTATCTATTTATTATCAATTTCTATAACTGTCATTTTTATCAACTGTTACACAGTTACCTATCTAACGTGACAATATTAAACTTGTTAAACAAATAAATACTCTACTCAAATATTAAACTTTGCTGTACTCGTTGAACTCAACCACTCATCCTTGAACTCCGCTAACCTTCATCTAACCTTCAACCTAACCAAAATTTTTGCCACCTAAATCATTCGCACAGTAGAAACGAAGTAAAGAAAAGCTTCCAAGAATCACGAAGCATCCCCTGTGTATCCGTGTATCGTCGCACCATGTAGGGTCTTCGAGCGGAAATCTCGCACACGCAAGGCTGACGATCCTCGAGCTTCGCTCAACGTCGTGAAACAAGACTCGGTTAAATATCGGCTGTCGTTCAAAATACGAACGGCTAACAATCGTCGATTGACTTGTTTATGGGCTACAAAGAAAATCTGATGCTCGTGGCGATGAATGAGCAAGCGTCGTCTCGTTTTCATTGTTTCTGACGGCACACGAGCTGAGTTACACGCACCGCCCACGCGTCACCGTTTGACGCTTACCTCTGTATAGAATCTTTGCTGCTTCGACTTTGTGTGTTCTCTAATTTTATTATTTTTTGTCTAATTATTTGAAAGAACCTTTGGTTTCATTATTTAAAATCATTTGAAATAATGTGGTACAAAGATAAGTACTATGTATAAAGGAGACAATTTATAAAATTAATTATAAAGTTAGAATAATAAAGTTGAAGAAAGTATAATGCAACAAATTTTATTTTTTAAAAGAATTTATTTCGTACTTATTATAATAGTAGTACATACTAAGTTTCTTCATTAAAAATTGTTAATCTCTAAAATTTCTAAATTGAAGTTTGCACTTCTACAAGTTTCTAAATTAATTTTCCAACAACATTGTTACCGAGTCCTACGTTTCTGTCACCTCTTGGAGAGTTGTCCGACAATCAATCACGCCGTCATGCGTTCAAAGAGATCTCGTTCGGTTACACAATCTCCTCGAAGAAAAATACCCGTGGACGAACCGGACGAGCGTTTCCAGAAATCGAGAAAAACATAGTTGCCTTCGTCGAAAGAGTTGAGTTTCCAAAGTGGCCGCGTCGACCGGCGGGACAAGTTTTCTCGGCCTTTCAGAGAGGAGCTCGCTGAATGGATCGGGCGTGTGGTCGAAGGAATCGTTTCGCCTCCATTGTGGCTGACAGTACATAAAGCGAGCCTCTAACTACGAGTGATCTCGCCCACGTATCGCCGCCACCTTGTCATGTTTAATTTGTCCACGGACCGACAACCGGCCGACGTATGATTCGATA